CCGCTTTGTGTGACAACATCAAGGCGCACGCCACAAATTGGAGGAGAAGCCCGGCCAAACACTAACATATGTGTAGACGCCAATCTATTATTATTATTATTAAGGTTGGAGTGATTACAATTTTGATTTAGCACAATATATCTTCTTAGGTCGCAGCGCGGATATGTTCGACGTAATAATAATAATATCGTTACTAGACACGAATAAAGAGCTCGGAAAAACTCTTTGGGGAGTTCTGGAGAATACTGTTGCACTCGAAATATTGACCGCGGACATAAGTTTATGGGTCTTTCTTCGCTGTCTAAGAGGTTAACGCGGCTTTATTTGCCATCACCTATGTTAAGAGTCTTTCTTCGCCGACATTTTTTTTACGCCTCTTTTTTCGCTATCAACTTCTGAGCTCGCGTCTTTATTCGTATCTAATGACGATATGTATGTATGTGTAAAGAGACATATGTATATATGGATAAGTCTGTACAGTAAAATGGATCGTTATACGCATTTAATTTTTTATACCCGAGCGCACTTGTGCACAAGGGTATATTAATTTTGTTCACATAACGGTTGTTTGTAACAGCCAAAACGAATCGAAATAGATATAGACAAATGTACACATAAATGATCAGGATGAAAAAAGAAATCGATTAAGCCATGTCTGTCTGTCCGTCCGTCTGTCCGTCCGTCCGTGTACACGATAACTCGAGCAAAAATTGAGATATCTCAACGAAATTTGGTATGTATGTTTCCCTTAATCCAAAGTAGGTTGGTATTGAAAATGGGCGAAATCGGACTTTAACCACGCCCACTTCCCATATAACGGTAATTTCCAGAAATACGAAAACTGCGATATTTTAGTAACTACTGAAGATAATTCACTCGTAATTGATATTTACAATAATTTTTAGACGAAAAATAAGAATATTATAAATTTTTGGAAAATGGGCGTAGCCACGCCCACTTATGGTTACAGGTGTATATCTTGGTAACCGCTCCACCAATTTCTTCCAAACTTGGCACAGTTGTTGGCCTTCGCACAACATACCAAATGGCCGAAAATTTCTAAAATCGCTCAATAACCACGCCTACTTCCCATATAACGGTAATTTTCAGAAATACGAAAACTGCGATATTTTA